TAGGCCGTCGCTCAATGTACATATTCAACCTGTTCCCGAGCACCTGGGGGTTCACCGGCCACTACAAGGACTACTCAAACCCGGGTATTATCAACGAGTTCGCCACCGCAGCCTTCAGATGGCATTCGTTGATTCAGGTAGTGATCTATTGTTAGCATTTTCACCATAAAGTTTTTCAACGATACCATGTTTATTGTCATTTGAAGAGTTTTTACCACCTGATAAACTCAGAGGGAGAGTACACATCGCACCCACAGCTCAGGGATATACTCAACGATCCGACGCCTCTTTATAAACCGGGTGTTGTCGATGAGGTCTTATACGGCACAGTAGTCCAGCCCTCGCAGAAATTTGATGGCATTGTCACTGAAGAGGTCTGTCATTAAAAAAACAAAATAAATTTTAAAATATATGTAATATTACAACAAATTGTACACAAAGATTAAGCACCATTTGTTTCGGGCGCCAAAAGCCAAGTTTGGCGGCGATTTAATCGCCACAAACATACAGAGGGGTCGAGACCACGGACTCCCGCCCTATAATAAGGTGCGAGAGGTGTGCGGTTTGGGACGCATCAAGACCTTTGACGACTTGAACCGAGCGTTTGGTCCGGGAATGGGTCCACAATTCGCCCGATTGTACAAAAGCGTCGACGATATTGACCTGTTTTTGGCCGGCATTCACGAGCGCACGGCTTCCGAGGGTATTCTCGGACCGGTGTTCGCCTGTATTGTCGCCGAACAGTTCAAACGGACTAAAGGTATTGTATTATACCTTGTATTGTATAATACAAGTGTTGTAAATAAATTCATTTTAATTATAATAATTAAATTTTATTAATTATAACTTATAATTAAATATGATGGTATTTTTTAGAGGGCGATCGGTTTTGGTTCGAGAATATTGGTTTAAGCCATTCGTTTACTGACGGTTTGTTTTTGAAATTGTCATGCTAATTGATTGTCATGGTTGTTTTAGTTTATTTTTATTTTACTGTATAATTAAGTTAGACTTTTGAATGTTTGTGTTAAATTGGTTGTTTGTATTGACCAATATAATTAATGTGTAATTCACTCCCACTTATCTCACGTCAGGCCAAATATATGAGATCCGGAAAGTGAGTCTATCGGGTATTATATGCGCCAATGGAGACGATATCCAATTTTTTGCTCCGTTAGCACTAATGCAACCGATTTTTGGGTATTTTTTCAAATTAATATTTTTGTTTTAGTTTTCGCTATATTTGTTGTTTTGTTTATCATTTTTAAGCAATCGATTGAAGGATTGCTCCGAAATATCGCAAATGAATTTAAATCACTGGAAAAATGAAAAAGTTTAGTATCTGTGAATAAATAGTATGTAATTTATTTTTGATTTTAAAAATCAT